GGGCTTGGGGAGTGCTTGGGGCTTCTCTACGTTGCCCACGCAACTCTCGAAAAGAAGGAATGCAAATCCGAAAAGCGCCATGAAGACAAAAGCCACATGCACACCCATGTTGAACACATCAGCTAATGCCCCAAAACCCAAAACCCTCGTCTAAGTACCAAGTCGTCCCTGCAGCCACAAACCATACAAAATAGTAGAATACGAGATGTTTAGTTGCAGAGGCCCCAAAATACCAGAGCAATTGCAGCCCACTCTAACCCTAAGCCCTAAACCCTCTCATGAACCATAAACCTTATCATAAACCCTAAACCTATATTACAAACCCTAAGCCCTATATTCTTAACCTTAAACCCTACTATAAACCAAAGAACCGGGCCAGGCTACGTCTTTGTCCAAGCGCTTCCGCCAAGCTTTCAGCGGATGCCCTGGAACGGCTTGGACAAGAAACTTTATCGCACTACGAAAGGATGTACAGGGAGAGTCAGGCCACAGAAACAAAGACCATCACGGACCCCGATGGCCGCCACTCGGGACTAAGAACAGCCACATAAGAGGATCAAGGGTTCACGGGTTATGATTCTAGGCCGTAGGGTTCAGGGTTTGGGATTTTAGGCTTTAGGCGTAACCCTGAAAGAACCCTTCGAACGAAGCTTCTAGGGAATCCTACTCTAATTATTGAGGTCCTTATATCAGGACTTCAGCGTAAGGACAAAACTCTTCGATGATCTGAGCACTGCGCCACCTACCTCCTGAAGCCTTAGCTTTCTGCACCCGGCTTGACAACCTTGCCCAAAGCTGTTGTCAAGGCTGAGGCCATGGGGATCTTGGATTCAGTGGAAGCTGAACACTCGGGGCCTTCGACGCGTGTCAGCAGCGCTTTCATGATCGCCCACTCCTCCTGAGCGTCGGGTTGCCCTTTAGTATCCGAGAACCCAAAAGGCACAGAAGTCTGAAACCCTGAGGCCCTAAGAGTTCCAAGGTACATAAAGACCAAAGCCCCAAAGCATCCGAGACAACCCCACACTTCCCAACAGGCCCATGTACGCTTCTATGGCTCTGTCACATCATCATCTAGATCTAAGAGTAACCTAGGAATAAAAAGGGTGCCCTTTTTGGTTTAAAGGGGGTTATAAGGGAACCTAAACCCTAAAAAAGGGAATAAGGGCCTACTCAGGGTCCTAGTCATGGTTGCAGGTTCAGAGGAAACAGTGCGGGGCTGGTTCTTGCCACCAAAACTGCGGCCTAAATCCCTGAAATCAAAAATCCCCGACACAACAACAAAGCAGTCAAACCGGCAAGTCAAAATCCTGAACCTCAACCCCGAAATCGTAAAACATCGCATCAAAATCCTAAACCTCAACCCCGAAATCGCCAAATGCCTAAAGAAACAGCAGGAAAGCATCCGCTCCTGGTTCGGGGTGGCCGTCAGCCACTCCACGGGACGCCAGCCTGAGGATCTCTAGGGACAGCAAGGAAAGCTATTACTACTAGTATAGGGTTTAGGGTGTAGGGTTTAGGGTGTAGGGTTTAGGGTTTCGGGTTTAGGGTTTGGGGAAGGGAACGTCGGTTCAGAACTTTTTGGGGCTTAGGCTTCAGGGTCTACCCAAAGGCCCCAAAGTAGTTCCTTTTTGGGATTCATATATAGAATCCTATAAGGTAATCCCAAAAAGGAACTACTTTGGGGCCTTAGGGTAGAGTCTAGGGTCTAAGGTACATGGTAGAGGGTACAGGGTAGGATGGGTAATTAGGGTATAGGGTTTCTAGGGTGTAGGCTTAGGGTTTAGGGCATTTCGACGAGCTGCCATCTAGCCAAACGAAATCTTCCTGGCACACGAAGCCGCAGCCATACCTGCAAGTTTGGATGATCTAAGGCCACAGGGTTTCGGGGAGTTGAGTCCATGGGCTTACTGCACTGCCATTACTACTGCAAACCACCAGCACGCAGAGCCAGCATACACCCAAACCAACGACCACCTCACCACTGCTACTGGTGCAGCTAGTCATGAAGACCGACAGCAATAGTTTGTCAATAATCTTGAAGCGTCACCATAGCCCGTTAACCATGAGGACATGATGATCACTGAGATTGGTTTCACAGACAACATTCAACGAGCATGCAGACACTCCGAAAGATTGTCCCCAAGCAGCTTTCGTCAGTCAGGGATAACTGTTCTTTCGCATCGGATCCAAATGGACCCTCCGATTAGAGGTGTCAGAAGTTAGGTTGTCATCCGAGAAGGATGTACTGCCGCCTCGACTGCTCCACCACCAAATACAAGCTCCAAAAATCTTCAACACAAGCAAACTGCATGCCGCCCTGTTTAAGTGCCTCCTTCGTCAGTCAGGGATAACTGTTCTTTCGCATCGGATCCAAACGGACCCTCCGATTAGAGGTGTCAGAAGTTAGGTTGTCATTCGAGAAGGATGCGCTGCCGCCTCGACTGCTCCACCAACAGTGTACAAGCTCCAACAATCTTCAACACAAGCAAACTGCATGCCGCCCTGTTTAAGTGCCTCCTTCGTCAGTCAGGGATAACTGTTCTTTCGCATCGGATCCAAACGGACCCTCCGATTAGAGGTGTCAGAAGTTAGGTTGTCATCCGAGAAGGATGCGCTGCCGCCTCGACGGCTCCACCACCAGTGTACAAGCTCCAACAATCTTCAACACAAGCAAACTGCATGCCGCCCTGTTTAAGTGCCTCCTTCGTCAGTCAGGGATGACTGTTGTTTCGCATCGGATCCAAACGGACCCTCCGATTAGAGGTGTCAGAAGTTAGGTTGTCATTCGAGAAGGATGCGCTGCCACCTCGACTGCCCCACCAACAGTGTACAAGCTCCAACAATCTTCAACACAAGCAAACTGCATGCCGCCCTGTTTAAGTGCCTCCTTCGTCAGTCAGGGATTGTTCTTTCGCATCGGATCCAAACGGACCCTCCGATTAGAGGTGTCAGAAGTTAGGTTGTCATCCGAGAAGGATGTGCTGCCGCCTCGACTGCTCCACCAACAGTGTACAAGCTCCAACAATCTTCAACACAAGCAAACTGCATGCCGCCCTGTTTAAGTGCCTCCTTCGTCAGTCAGGGATAACTGTTCTTTCGCATCGGATCCAAACGGACCCTCCGATTAGAGGTGTCAGAAGTTAGGTTGTCATCCGAGAAGGATGTGCTGCCGCCTCGACTGCTCCACCATCAGTGTACAAGCTCCAACAATCTTCAACACAAGCAAACTGCATGCCGCCCTGTTTAAGTGCCTCCTTCGTCAGTCAGGGATAACTGTTCTTTCGCATCGGATCCAAACGGACCCTCCGATTAGAGGTGTCAGAAGCTAGGTTGTCATCCGAGAAGGATGTGCTGCCGCCTCGACTGCTCCACCATCAGTGTACAAGCTCCAACAATCTTCAACACAAGCAAACTGCATGCCGCCCTGTTTAAGTGCCTCCTTCGTCAGTCAGGGATAACTGTTCTTTCGCATCGGATCCAAACGGACCCTCCGATTAGAGGTGTCAGAAGTTAGGTTGTCATCCGAGAAGGATGTGCTGCCGCCTCGACTGCTCCACCAACAGTGTACAAGCTCCAACAATCTTCAACACAAGCAAACTACATCACGCCCTGTTTAGGCGCATCCTTCGTCGGTCAGGGATAACTGTTCTGTCGCATCGGGTCCAAACGGACCCTCCGATTAGAGGTGTCAGAAGTTAGGTTGTCATCCGAGAAGGATGTACTGCCGCCTCGACTGCTCCACCACCAGTGTACAAGCTCCAACAGATTCCAACACAAGCAAACTGCATGCCGCCCTGTTTAAGTGCCTCCTTCGTCAGTCAGGGATAACTGTTCTTTCGCATCGGATCCAAACGGACCCTCCGATTAGAGGTGTCAGAAGTTAGGTTGTCATCCGAGAAGGATGTGCTGCCGCCTCGACTGCTCCACCGACAGTGTACAAGCTCCAACAATCTTCAACACAAGCAAACTGCATGCCGCCCTGTTTAAGTGCCTCCTTCGTCAGTCAGGGATAACTGTTCTTTCGCATCGGATCCAAACGGACCCTCCGATTAGAGGTGTCAGAAGTTAGGTTGTCATCCGAGAAGGATGTGCTGCCGCCTCGACTGCTCCAACATCAGCGCACAGGCTCCAACAATCTTCAACACAGGCAAACTGCATGACGCCCTGTCTAAGTGCCTCCTTCGTCAGTCAGGGATAACTGTTCTTTCGCATCGGATCCAAACGGACCCTCCGATTAGAGGTGTCAGAAGTTAGGTTGTCATCCGAGAAGGATGTGCTGCCGCCTCGACTGCTCCACCACCAGTGTACAAGCTCCAACAGATTCCAACACAAGCAAACTGCATGCCGCCCTGTTTAGGTGCATCCTTCGTCAGTCAGGGATAACTGCTCTTTCGCATCGGATCCAAACGGACCCTCCGATTAGAGGTGTCAGAAGTTAGGTTGTCATCCGAGAAGGATGTGCTGCCGCCTCCACCGCTCCACCACCAGCGTACAAGCTCCAACAATCTTCAACACAAGCAAACTGCATGCCGCCCTGTTTAAGTGCCTCCTTCGTCAGTCAGGGATAACTGTTCTTTCGCATCGGATCCAAACGGACCCTCCGATTAGAGGTGTCAGAAGTTAGGTTGTCATCCGAGAAGGATGTGCTGCCGCCTCGACTGCTCCACCACAGTGTACAAGCTCCAACAATCTTCAACACAAGCAAACTGCATGCCGCCCTGTCTAAGTGCCTCCTTCGTCAGTCAGGGATAACTGTTCTTTCGCATCGGATCCAAACGGACCCTCCGATTAGAGGTGTCAGAAGTTAGGTTGTCATCCGAGAAGGATGTGCTGACGCCTCGACTGCTCCACAACCAGTGTACACGCTCCAACAGATTCCAACAATCTTTAGCACAATCAAACCGCATGTCGCCCTGTTCAAATGCATCCTTCATCAGTCAGGGATAACTGTTCTTTCGCATCGGATCCAAACGGACCCTCCGATTAGAGGTGTCAGAAGCTAGGTTGTCATCCGAGAAGGATGTGCTGCCGCCTCGACTGCTCCAACATCAGCGTACAGGCTCCAACAATCTTCAACACAGGCAAACTGCATGCCGCCCTGTTTAAGTGCATCCTTCGTCAGTCAGGGATAACTCTTTCTTTTCGCACAGTAGTATGGTCTGTCGTACAGTACTCATACTGCTAGGTGCAATCCCGAACATCAAAGCTTTCCTCTCTGTTGGGATCTGAGAAAACCTGCAACTGACTGCGATGACCGACTTGCACAGACTCAGAACTCTGCCTGAAGGCTCATATACCTGTATAGCATATACTTTGATACGACTTTGGGAAGCCCTATGAGGCAGAAGAAGTGTATACTTCGTAGGCACATCGACTAGTAGAGTTTCGAATCAAAGATGAGCAACCCACGGAAGCACCCCGAAACACTAAAAACCTTAACCCTAAACCCTAAAGCCCTAAAGCCCTACGCAATCGCTAAATCCCGAAAACGCGCCAGCGGTAGATGCCTAAGGCCCAAACTCACGCCACGAAATCTAATCTGACCAAGCCCGATCTCAAAATCCCAATCACGTCTGCTACACATCCCAACAACGAATAGCATGTCAAAGCACACTCTCGTAATTATATCGTATTGAACGTATCTTAATGCATGCTATACTGCGGGGTGCAAGCACGAACAGTCATGACCCCGATCCCAGGTTGGGTGTAAGTTAACCTTCGGGCTGAACATCGGGCATGCCCTTGGCAAAAAGCCGACTATGACTGCCGCCACCATCCCCGTATCGCCACTAGTCATTCTTGATTTTCAGTACCGAATCATTATTTAATTACTCCTATGACATGACTAGTCCTGTATTTTGATTCCCGACGACTCAGTGAACTCGAAATTTAAGCTTTCACTTGGATCCCCAGTAAGCTGGGAATAAAAAGAGGCTCCCTTTCTTGGCACCGGGTCGGTTTTTTGAAAGAAACTAGGACCACAAAAAGAGACCCAGTCAAACCCAGTACGCAGGCTAGTTCACAAGAACCTCAGTAGTTGAAAAGTTCGGCCGCAGAGAACTACGGCAATATAGAGGTCGGAGGAAGTATTACTAGTAAATCCTTACATATTCCAGCCCTCTTCTGATCATTGGCCCTATGTTAGACCCTAAAAGAAGCCTCTCGAACCCTTTAAGACCTCGAAACCAAGAATCCAGAACGGTGTTGCTGACGAGGAGCGAGTCTAAGGAGCTGCCCAAGAGGCCAGAGCCCTAGCGCTTTTCTTGGTAAGTAAAGTTATAAGTACCCTAATTGGTCCCTTTTAAGGGATCTATAGGGTACTATAAGGGTTTAGGGTTTAGGGTCTATTTGGAGGATCATGGGACTTAGTAAGTAGGGTTATAAGTACCGTAGTTGGGGTTATAAGTAATTATAAGTATAGTCACCTTATTTACAACCCTGGTGCGGTTGAAGGCTTTGGGCTACAGTGCTTGGAGCAGTGCTCAGCTTGGGCACGCGGCATGTTACCCTAAATGCTAAACCTTTGACCCTAAACTTTCCTAGAACCTTTTAAAACTTTGAACCCTAAAACCTTTTTAAACTCTGAATCCTAAAACCTTTTCAAGCTTGGGAATTTCAGTTTTTGCTTCTCTGCAGCCTTGAGTGGAAGAGCCTCGGGCTTAGGGTAGGGTTTACGGCTTCGAGGGTTTATAGGGTTTAGGATTTTTGGTTTGAGGTTTAGGGGTTAGGGGTTTAGGGTTTTAGGGTTTAGGGTTTAGGAGTTTGGGTTTAGGGCTTCTGGTCTAGGGGTTTAGGGGTTTAGGGGTTTAGGGTTCGGGGTTTAGGGGTTTAGGGTTTATATAGGTTTGTATAGGTGTTAGGGTTTGGGAGATTTAGGGTGGCTCTGGGGCTTCAGGGGTATCAGGGTCGAGAGTTGTAGTGCTCTGAGATCGGCTGCTTCTGGCGGGAAATTCGGCACCCTACACCCTAAACGGTAGGAATTTGGGGTCCGGGGGCTCGGACGGCTTAAGTCTTAACCCCGTCTTGCGTTCCAGCGGCAGGCTGCCGCTTTGTTTGCCAGGTGGCCTGCCATCCGCATAAAGACTTGACGGTCGTGCCACCATACGTCCCCAGAGCCTCCAAAACCCCTTAATTAAGGAATATACCTTAAATCATAAATAGGATCCTATTATAATTTAAGGTATATTCCTTAATAGAGGGGTTTTGGAGGCTCTGGGTCCATGTTGAACCTTGCCTGTCCGCAATGTGGCCCTTTGTGGCGACCTTCCTCTTAAAGCCACTGCTTGCAGGAGATTTCCCTGTGGAGCTTGTGGCCCTCGACGATCTGGTCGAGGTACTGCATCGTCAGCCACGTGGGGCGGTGCCCCGGATCCCCAAACCAATAAACCCTCAACCTCAAATCCTCCATGTAGAAAGAACCCTTCTAGAATCCTAATAGAACCACTATAAGCCCTAAAGCCCTAAACCCTGAACCCTTTAAACCCTAAACCCCAAAACTTCTCCCGGAAAGTGCCTCCCCTCGCTTGATGGCCCCTGCGTCCCGCAGCGCTGCCACGAAGACGCTCAGCCTACTAAACAACTCTTTAGGGTTTAGGGTTTAGAGTTTAGGGTTTGGGGTTTATGTCTGAAGATGTCAAGAATTTTCGAGGGCCAAAAGGAAAGTTCAGGGTTTAGGGTTCTATAGGGGTTTTCATTCGTTCCGATAGGGTGCGTGGAGTGTTGCGAAAAGATCTCACTCAGAAACTGGTAATAATGGCCATTAATGGCGCTTTAGAGTCCCTCAAGCTTTCAGCACAGTGTTTGGCTTGTTACAATACAAGGCGGAGGCTTTAGGTTCGTGTTGACGGTGCAGGGTATATGGATGAGGTTCCCAAGGTATGTTCAGCAGCATTCCATGTAAGCTACGAAGAAGTTTGACTTAATAAGTGAGGGTCAGGGGTTCCATCGGGTTTTCCATCAGGGTGTACAGGATTTCATTGCTGCTGGGCGGCCAGAGTAGTTACTATGCTATCACGTACCATAATCAGGATCATACGCTTTTGTAGGTTGCCGCATGTTGGGACCGTGGTTTTTGGAGTAATCGCAAGCGGCTCGCAGGCTTGAGCCTTCAGAGGGCGTAAATATGCACGGTTTGGCAGATTCTGACATGGAGTTTGTATGAAAAACGGTCTGTTTAATCTTGACTCAAGATACCCAACCTTCCCAAACGCACTCACGCCCGATGACCCCTACCCCTTACGTCGGACCCCAACAACAAAGGTCCCCAATCCCCGAAACCCAAAACCCTGCAACTTCAAACCCGAACAGTAAACTAAAGCTGAAAGTTCAAAAAGCTTATGTAACCCGACATCAGGACATGTTTGGGGCTTTCGGCTTTGAATTGAGCCCTGAAACCCTGCAAGCCCGAAGCCAACATGTCATGTCGAAGCCAGACGGCAGCATCTTCTTGTCGGAGCGCCAACGGCCTCTCGGGGTTCCAGTTGGTAACGCTGAACCCTTTGCCTCAGATGCTAGGGGTTTAGGGCTTAGGGTTTCGGGTTTAGGGGTTTAGGGTTTGGGGTTTGGGGTTTACGGGTTTAAGGTTTAGGGTTTTGATCCTGAACTCCGAGAACAGCCACCCTACAACCTAACTCCGCCCCCAGACTTAAACCATTCACACCTCAACCCTAATCCTGAATCCGAACAAAGAGCCAAGAGCTTCATTGAACCATGTATGCCAACCAAACTAAACCCAAAGCTCCAGTATTAGGGGCCTTAACAATAGAACAGGGATAAGGAAAGTACGGTATGTACAATTGTTAAGGCACCCACATTGACCTCGCAAAGCCTAGTTTTGAAAGTCGAAGAAAACAAACGAACAGTAGCATCGGCCTTTACTACTATAGGACCTTGAGCCCAAATAACCTAGGTTTCAAGGACTTGTATACACAACTCATATTAAGAATAGGTAGGTTTCATAGGGTCCAGGTAGGACCTTCATAGTCTAGTCTGAGGACTCCCCGACAAATCGCCCCTAATGTCAAGCACCTCTGCAGCTGGAATGGGCCGCCATGAATCCTAAAGCCCAGGATCTTTTCAAGAGGATCCCCAGACTAGCAGACTTTAAGGAAAATCTGAAGACCTTGACTAAGTAAACCCTTAAACCCTAAACCCTAAACCCCAAATAAATAGAACCCTTACACCCGTCATCCCTAACTCCGCAGCCCTTACACCCTACAATGAGGCATGGGGCCGGGCACCTTGCCGTTGCGGAGCTTTCCTAAGCTCGGTGAGCATCGGAGAGGCCCAAAACAGAGCGCAGGAGCCTTGATCGGATGCATGTTTTCATGGGAAGACTTTGTGGGACTACAAGGCTGTTTCAGGGGTTGAAGGGGCTCTTAGTCGGGATAACAGGGGGCTTGATTGGGATTATAGGGTTGTGCAAGGAGTTGAAAGGTTCTGAATTGGACCTGATGTGTCTAAACAGCAGAATTCTTTCTTTGTGGGCTTTCTCGGTTTCTGGCGTAAGGGGCTAGGGCGGCCGTGGTGATTTTCTGCTCGTATCTTAGAACGTTTGCGGAAGTTTGGAGATGCGATTCCGAGTCGTTGAAGATGAACAGGGCCTTTCGCCGGGGCTGAGTACCATAGCATCGGCACTGCTCCAGCAATCATAAGACGAGACAATGAAGCTCCTATCCTCTCGAACCTTGAACTTAAGGGCGCTTCTATATGGGTGGTTGTCAAAACACCCTAAATGATAGGTGATGTACTATAATCGGGACACAATAAGGTACCATCATCTTGACAACCATCCATATCCTTTTAGATGGAGCCTGAAACCTTAGTAAATGATAAGATGCGAAAGTCGAGACCTCGACTCTTCGAAGACTGCAGCCTCGGGCGCCCCTCCGAAAGCCAAGATCCAACGACCCCAAATAAAAGCGACACTGCTCAGATGAGCTTGAACACTACCTGTTGTATTGATAAGAGCAATAAGGCTCACGGTGGACAAAAGGCACAAGAAATAGAGCGGTGATGGCGCTAGTTGTGAAAACAACGGTAGCAAGACGGAAGCAATGACTAGCTTCCTTAAAGCCTTCGCCCAGCCAACTCGTGCCCTGAATCCGAGATCCGTGCCATAGTGGGCCACGGCCCACCTCGAGCCCAAGGCGGAGGAATGGAGGGATCTTGTGGATTTTTCTAACATCGGGGCCTTAATATAATTACCTGCAATATTTCGGGGGCTCCTTACTACAAGTATAGTATAATGGGCCCCCCGATATTAGCGTACGTTCAAGGACAAAGGTTTAGGGTTTTGGGGTTTAGGGGGTTTGTACAGGGTCTGAGGGGGCTTCGGTTTACATAGAGCCCCTGGAGGATTTATGTGCAGAGATTGGTTCTTCATGTTTGTGTCATCCGTCGGCTCCGGTGTTAGGGCTTGGCGGAGTTGGGGCTCTCATTCGCACACCCCAAACTCCAAACCCCAATCTTTAACCCCCAAACCTACAGCACTAAACTCCAAATCCTGAACCACAAAACCGGAAACCCCCTACACCTCCCTGAAACTCTATGGCTCCACTTCGGAATTGGGGCTCAGGGGGCTCGGGGTTTAGGGTTCATGGTTTGAGATTCAGCGTTGGGTTTCACTTTAGTGACACTGCGACAGTTCTTGATTTAAGATCGATCATGGACATCGGGCGAAACAGCCAAGGCCCAAGCCGAGACTCTGAACATTTTTCCCGAAGCCCATTAACCTAAACCCTAAACCCTAAACCCTAAACCCTAAACCCTAAAACCTAAACCCTAAAACCTAAACCCTAAACCCTAAAACCTAAACCCTAAAACCTAAACCCTAAACCCTAACACCTAAACCCTGGCCGGAAAGCACCCAGCCCGCCATCTCCAAGGCCACACCCTACAGGTTTGCAACAGGCCCTCGAGCCACTACATCACCTCCCCACACCCAGGTCTTCCATGAAAAAGGACCCTGCGCCAAAGTTAAGGCAGCCAAAAACAGCCGGTCTGAAACTCGAAAACCTGAACCCAGAGTCCTTTACAGAACCCCTCTAGGATGTTAGAACTCTGAAAAAGGACACGCACAGACTTTGCAAAATGGGGGGTTTCCGAAAAGACAGGACCCTAACATAGTACCCTACATAGTAGGATTTTCATTGTAAGGACTCCCAAAAGAAGGTTCCCCTCGTATTCTCTGAAACTCCCAAACCCTTAACCCTAAACCCGTTACAGATCCCTTGAAGGAACCCGTGGGGTTCCTCCCATAAAGGTACCCCTTAGTTTCAGAAACTCCCAAACCCTAAATCCTAAACCCTATAGATCCCTGATAGATCCCTTTAAAGGAACCCTCCTTTTCGGAAACTCCCAAACCCTACACCCTAAACCCTACGGATCCCTGATAGGTCCCTTTAAAGGAGCCCTCCTTTTCGGAAACTCCCAAGTGCAGCCCCGAGAGCTGCTTGAAGCCGGCCAGAGTTTCGGCTGCAGCCGGAGCTAGGGCCTCTTGGTACTAACTATACTGAACTTAGAACCCTAGCAAAATTGTAATTTTAGCTGTTTCTTAGGGATTATAATGACCACAAATTGATAATTAGAATACTTGGAGGATCAGGGGACTTAGTAAGTAGGGTTATAAGTACCTTAATTGGTGTTATAAGTAAATATAAGTACCGTTACCTTAATTATAACCCAAGTTACTAGGTCCCATGATCCTTTAAATAGGGTTCCTTTTACAGGGGTCCCTCAGAGGGTTAGAAGGGCTCCTTTAAAGGGTTCCATAAGGGCTACTATAAGAGGTCTGCGGTTTCCTAGCCCTGGTCTTCGTACCACTCCTTCTAACCCTGCAGGCCCAAGGGGCTTAGGGTTTACCTAGAGGCTCATACCCTACCCCTTGTTTAGGATACCTATAGTTAGCTTATGGTTAGGATCTGTTGTACCAAAGAGTAGATACCCCCAAAAAGGGGGTAGGGTATGAGCCTACAGGTAGGCCAGACATCAGACCTCCGGACTGGCAGACCGTCGGCCTTGTGTAAGTAAGAGCACATGCTGGTCAACAATCGCAGCCAAAGCAGTATGTGGCTCTTGGGGCTATGTAGATATGAAATCTGACGGGCCTGGAAACGAAAAAGACAAACACTGATAGACAACAAGACAGAACAATACTGAACACACGTATCACTCAACGACCTATTCTTTGCTCCACCTTCCCAAATACGGAAAATTGCCTAGGACATACTCCGACAGAGCAACGACAACGGCGGGAATTCCTCTGAAGGCGTTTTGCCTAAGATGAAACCTCTGCTGGCCCGGCTGTGTTGAATATCAGGGTGAGAGGTTGTTTGCTCTTGTGCCATTACCTTCAGTTAGGGATCGAAGAAGGATTGGAGGATGTTTCTTACCTTTCGTGTTTGGCATGCATCGCAGCACGCTGGAGGTTCAGAGAATGCAGATACCTGAACATAGACCCTGAATGCCCTAAATGCTGGAATTCTTGTAACTCCTGCTTATAAGGGCCGCAACAAAGACGCCCAACGTTTTTCAGACAACCACCCATACTCTATAAATCTATAAACCCTGAGCAAATCCGTTAATTACACCCGATGAAGCACCTTATGTAACCCTTTTATACCGTATATAAGCACTGTCTAAGAACTTGATGCAGCCCGAAGAAGCCCGTTTACATAGACGCGACGCTCGAGTTAACGTAGGACCTAATGTAGGAGCTTCAATACGCAGAATAGGGGTCTGAGTATACTATACTACATAGTGGTGCTTTAAGGAAATCGGAAACCCCAGGAATAGCAGCAGCATTACGAGTTACCCCGAACCCTAGGCCTTGAAGCCACAAACCCGACATCCCCTGAAGCCCCAGCAGACCCTGAAGCCCAAAGCCTATACATGGGAGTTTTCGAAGATGAGGGATTAATTTGGTGTCCTTATAGTAAGGATCCTACTATTTAGGGTACTATATACTAGGGTCCCCTATTTTTGGAACCCCCACATCCTTATGCTATTTTTGTAGAGCTTGAGCCAGACTCACGAAACAGAACGTCACGGCCTCCAAACCAACCTCGCCATCTCCGTCCAAATCCAGGCTGCGCCTGCTAAAGCAATGGAGCATTCTAGATCTAAGAGTAACCTAGGAATAAAAAGGGTGCCCTTTTTGGTTTAAAGGGGGTCATAAGGGAACCTAAACCCTGAAAAAGGGAATAAGGGCCTACTCTGGGTCCTGGCATTGGAGGATTTTTGCTCTGGAATAGTTGAGCAAAGCTGTAGGGGAGTCTATGTAAGTGCCCCGACTTTGGTGCAGGACTTCAGCGTGCAACAGTGATTCCACGGACGTCTGTTGTCCATATGAACAGCGGGCTTCGAACAGTCAATGAATGCCCGAAGCCCATATTGTGATACACTAAGCCCTCAACCCTGGGTCTTAAAACCCACGCATTTCAGCCCAAGTCCTTCAAGCTCTACGTCCATAAGCAGACAATCTCGCCGGGTGAGCCACAGCGACACGAAATCCAGCTGCACCGCGGCCTCCGCGTGCTGGTGACAGATTCAGGGCCGGATTAGAGCCCTATGGCATACAGTAAACCCCATAAAGTTGGAAACCGGATTAAAGACAAATAGTGCTGGGATTCCCTATTAAGGACTTAGGCTATTGGGTTTCCAACTTTTGGGCTTCGACTGCTATAGGGTCCTTTAACTTAACTATTCGCTTAGGGATCCAGGCTTAGGGTTAAGGGTCCATACTTACGCGCCAAAGCAGAAAGCCTTATGCCCGAGTCGAGAACACACCAACCTCGTTGGTCTCGAAAGCCCCACACCACTCAGACCCTAACCCCAGGCCCTAAACCCTAAACCCCGAACCCTAAACCCCAGCCAGCCAACATTGGAGACCTGCAGGCTGTCTTCAAAGAGCACGGTTTAAGAGTTTGCTATCTTAGGCGCTTTTGCCCTAAACCCGAAAACAGCTTTTGCAACTTATACGAAATAGTCTATTTAAAACCGATTCATCAAACGGCGAAGCACGAAGCTTAGCGACCAATGTCTTGACATGTTGGGTGCCCCTGTGCCAAGACCAACCCCCATGTCAATTTCAGTCAGGGCCTTGGAACAGTAGCGTTTGAGTGCCGCTTGAGACACCGTCGAACCTGGGTTCTTTGATCCAAGGGGAAAAGGAGGGACCCTTAATAATAACCCCTAGGTATATACCCTTAATATAGCTATTATATACCCATTATATGGCCCATTATAGGGTAGGGGTCCCCATTAAGGGTCGGCAGATGACCCGGACAATGCAAACAACACCTGGCCCGAATCAAGCAGAGCAAAGTTTCTGGTGTAAGGTCTGCACATGTAGTCTACTAGCAACGTAGTACCACAGCAGTAAGTTCGGATCCGGTCTTGCTGTTTTGCCATTCCTGCCCGGCTTAGGGTTTCTGACCCACAGTGACCCCGAAGTGACATGCGAAATGTACCCCACACCGGTATTCCCAACACTCTGACCCTGAACCGCAAGCCCAAACCACAAGGCTTACCTTGCAACAAAAACAACTGCAGACCCACAGACTGCCAAAGCCAAACCCTAAACCCCAAAGTCTCGAACCCAAGCCCTAAACCAAACAAGAACCGCAACAACGCAACTTAAACCCTGAGCGTTGCAACCTTCAGTTCGTTATCTGAGTGTAAGCAACCAATGAGGAACAAGTGTGAGGCTTCCGGAACTTCGAAATGCGACTGAACGTTAGACAACCATGCTTGAACTCATGTTGCAGCCTACCATGCCGTGTTTGGCACGCTCGTACACGAGGAGCGCCTATCTTGAAACCTTACGAGTCAAACTCTGTAGAGGCAAGCCGCTGCTAGTATGATTGCTGTGCTTTATTGCCGCAGGTTCGGATAAAACTCAACTGCATGTGTATTGTAGTGCACTATCTTCGTTAGAAGTAACAGCACCATGATTGACCGCTTGAAATGAACGTAGGGCAGTCTGGGGACCTGGAAACACACGACTTCAAGGCCTAAATTATACTGAACTTAGAACCCTAGCAAAAAATATATTTTTAGCTGTTTCTTAGGGATTATAATAACCAAAAATTATAAAGTATTTCTAAATACCCCTAAGTAAAGCCCAAACCTCAACCCCCAAATCCGCCTTTACACGCAGCCTGTTGCCCAATGAAGGATCGCGGGGTGCCAGGTGTTCTGTCTTTTCTTTTCGTGTGTACTTCCTAGTTCATGGTTGGGATAGGATTAAAAATTGAAATTTGTATTCCTTACTGGGTTTAAGAACCCATAAAAATGTCAAATGTAACCCAACTATGACAAAGCTTCGTTGCTTGCAGGACCGCGAAACCTTACGAATCACAGTTGGCAGTACAAGGCACAGATAGAGCAGATGCACAGAAACTTGCATGGTCACCGCACAGACCGATGTTGCAATTGCAAATGCGGACGTCTCCAGACAAGTTGTTCTATGATAGCAGAATTTAATCGGGACGTTAAGGGGTGTCTTGATCCTAGCATAATTCAGCCCCTGTACTAGATGGCCTCTCGCTTGGTTCTTTGCACAGACCTTTTCCCTCCAACCACTCTCGTCAAGGCAAGCACCATGTCTCGAGTCGTCGCAGCGCGGTGCACTCAACCGAACTGAAGCTCTGAATCGTGACGCTACCCTGAGGCCCCAAAGTAGTTCCTTTTTGGGGTTCGTATATAGAATCCTATAAGGTAATCCCAAAAAGGAACTACTTTGGGGCCTGTGGGTATTATGACTCCTTACCACATGCCAAACCCACGCCCTAAACCCTGAACCATACACCCTGAGCCCTAACCGGTCCCGAAACCCTGAACCCTCAACCCACACCTGACGTCTGAAACCTCGAGCCTGAACAACCGGACCACCCAAAGACCTTTCTACTGAAGGCGCATATAGCATTAAACCCTGAACCCTCCACTGTGATATTTCGAAGATAGGGGCGGGAATAAGTACAATACTATAGTTTGGGTTCCTTGCACTTTAGTGCAATATACCTCAAAACTCTATCCTAATCTCTCAATATCCTAAACCCTAAACCCCTAAACCCTAATCCCTGAAAAGTAAGCCCGTTCTGGGACCTCGGGCTGGAAGCCGGAAAGACAGATCTCTAAATACAGCACACTTTAGAAGGGGCCCCCACCCTGTAATAGTGACCATAAGGATTAGGAGGGTTTTTGGTTTAGGGTTTAGGGTTTAGGGTAAGGATTATATAGGATTATATTAGGGCCCTCTTATATTCCTATTATACCACTATTACAGGCTGGGAGCAGCTTCTAAAGCACACTACGGATCGCGGGCCTCAGCGTTGAGGGTTTAGGGCTCTACACATGTCGTGGTGTCATGTAGGTAAACAAAGCTATGGTCTGAAATTCACATACACACTACTATCAGATTACTGGCCTGCACCCGCTCCACATGTTCAAGAATCCTTCTGGTTCATGCTTTCGTACCAAAACTTGCAGGCTTCTTGTTTGATCCCCTGAAACCCAAATAAGGCCCGAAACAGCCACAAACCCCAAACCCCAAACTGCACAAATCCTAAACTCCGAGACCTGAAGCCCTCCCAAACAGCCCGTGTCATCTCGAGACATGGCAGAGTCAAGGCAGCCCCTGCGGGGCAAGAGGAAGAGGGTGATCCTGGAGCTCGTCACAGGGATCCTGGCCCCGTTTAAGCACTCGGCTCCTCGAGGGTGAAGGGTTTAGGGTTCAATGTAGTAGGGGCATATTCCTGTGGCAGCGACAATATGGCCTGGAGCCAGGCACGTGGGCTCCACTGCTATCTGAGAGCCGCGACTTGCTGGGTCGTGAGATTTGGGCAGTTGTCACGTCTAGTTGGCACCAACTAGGCTTTGGGCTTCGGCTGCTAGGGTTTAGGGTCTAGGTCTAGGAATTTTTGAACTTCCTTTTGAGCGCTTGAGTTAGCTCAGCGTCAATGCCGAGCAAGTTCAGCAAAAAATGCTACTTTTGTCAAGGTGTACACTTGCAAAGGGAAAGTGCTAGCGACTCATAATTTCGGTTCTTCAATGACCCTAAAACCTTAAGCTCTAACCCAGGAAACTCCTAAGCCCAACAAAAACCTCTCAAGTCTTGAACCCCTCAAAATCCCCGTAAACCTGTTAGACCCCTTCAACACAAAGAACCCCTTCAAAATCCTGGCATCTGGTTCTCTGGTTTCCCATGTGGCGAGCCCCTGCGCCACGCTATAGGGTTTCAGTAGCCTCATAGCGAGCGCACTGCACTGAAAATTAAGGTAGGCCCAAAGGGTAGGCCCAGGGCTTCCCCTCTCTGGTGCTGTAGCACCGGCTGGGGAAGCTGTCTTTTTTTGAAAAGTCGTTGAGACTTGCACTGAATTGGCATCCTAAACTCTGCGAAGAAGCCCTGAGAGCTTGAACCCTGAACCGTAAACCATCCGCCTACTCTCCTGCTCCGTCTGCTGCTGCGGCTACCATTGCGACGACGAATTCGAAGGCCTAGACTACAAAGACGACTACATTAGCCACAGCATACCTACCCGTGATGCCAAGCCTGGCTTTCTAGCCCTCTTCTACACCTTTACCCTCAAGGCTACCAAGCCCTTCAACCCAAATCAAACTTTCCTACATATGGGGGCCTTGATCATTGGAATAAAGTCTTGGGATATGTTGCAGGAATAGTAGTACTAAGTACTACTTGTTCAGACTTCTATATTACAGCACACTTATGAAGAACCCGTCATGAACCCTTTTTCACTCAAGCTATTTCTTCAGGCCTTCAAATGTCCAATATCGATTGTTTCAACAGCGAGCTTACAGAACGGCGAAAGCATATAAGAGCGCAGTTTAGGGTTTCAGGTTTAGGGTTTAAAGTTTAGGGTTTCGTGTTGGGAGACTAAGTATACCACCCTTAAGAAGCCCAAGGCCTGCCATGCAATCATGCAGCCCTTGCCAAGGCCCTTCTAGGCGTGTTTCTTGGCTCAGCTGAAAGCCGTAAACCCTGAAGCCTTAACCCCGTAACCAAGAAAACTATCCTCAACGGTCCTAAACCCTAAAACCTCTTGTGGAAGCATTGCCTGCTAGAGCCCTAGCAGAACCCCTAGGAAGAGAACCCTATGAACCCTTGGGTTCTTGATCGCCGCATCTGGTGGCGGGATCTCGAATTCACCCTCCCCTCCTGTGGAGTGCGAAGGATGTGGCCGGTCGGCCGAGACTCTGAGCTGCCTCTGCGGCCCTGAACACTCAGTCCTAAACCCTAAAAGCTTAAACTTAAACCATGAGCCCGAAACCAAAAAGCCAAAAAAACCTAACCTGCCCCCAGACCCGAAAGAGGGTTTAGGGTTGGGTTTTGGGGCTTTTGGGCTTTAGGGACCTCAGCGTGGCAGGGGCCCAGAGTGCTGTGCCCAGTAGTAGTAGTAGGTGTCCCAGGGACAGTAGAAAGGCGAGGCATTAAAAGTCGCCGTCTGGACCTTAGCCGCTCTTAGCATCAAAATCGACATAATGTTCTTGCTAATCCCCTGAAGTTGTATTATACAAGAATAGACACAATATCCTTACTAATCCCCTGAAGATGTATTCTGCAAAGAAAGACATGATGTTCTTGCTAGTCCCCTTAAGTTGTAGTCTACAAAAGTAAAACAGAAATCCTAGGAGCAGTAAACTTATACTGAATTATTTCTAAGTACCCCTAAGAGTGTTTTTGACGCTTGTACTATACAAAGAAAGACATAATGTTCTTGCTAATCCCCTTAAGTTGTATTCTACAAAAGTACAACAACAATTCTAGGAGCAGTAAAGGGACCGTCGGAGCGATCAGGTGCTCGGGCACGGACTCCAAGAGCAAGGACCGGATCTCTGGGAACCTTCGGCTCAGGTACGGTGGTAGGGCTTAGGGGGTTTGGGGTTTAGGGGTTTAGGGGTTTGGGGGGTTCAGGGGCTTAGGGTCTGGGGGTTTGGGGGTTTGGGGGTTTGGGGGTTTGGGGGTTTAGGGGTTTAGGGGTTTAGGGGTTTAGGGGTTTAGGGGTGTAGGGCTTGGGGTTTGGGGTTTAGGGGTTTAGGGGTTTAGGGGTTTAGGGGTGTAGGGCTTGGGGGTTTGGGGATTTAGGGTTTTAGGGGGTTTAGGGGGTTCAGGAAGTTCAGGCTTCATAGGGTTTAGGGTTTAGGGGTTTAGGGGTTTAGGGTTTAAGCTTGAAGGGGTCTGGTAACGAAGGGGCTTTGAAAATCAGAGAATGGGCTTCGAGGTAGGCCGTAGTACAGAATAACTCTGCAAGGAGTGTAACGGGAGGACAGTCGCAAAAGCCCGCTGGAGCTGGCTCTCAAAAGTAGGAAGGCCCTGATTCTGCACCCGAAAACAGGCAAGGTTGTCGTTACTGTGAGACTGTCGAAAAAGGAATCCTGGTTCTTGCTCAAAAGGCCGCCACAGGGACTTGCGGGCAAACCTCTTAAGCAGTTTGGGCATCTTAGGCTGTTTGGGCCAAGGATGAAGGGCTTACGCTTCTACGTAGAGAGACGATGCTTGGATGGGTTCAGCGATGCAGTTGGAGCCTCAGTTCAGGCCTCAGACGGCCCACATTTCAAATCCCGCCCGATGGAAGCCACTAAACCCAGACCCAACCGACATAAATTGCCGTCTGCACGATCCATTTCGCAGGCAGCCGGGTAACCCTTATGCAGCCTTTACGGAACCCCTAAACTCTGAAGCCTTAAACCCCCAAACACCCAAACCCTAAAACCCTAAACCCCCTATACTAAGTAGGACCGTCTAAAACCGGAACCCCGCGAGCCGAGGTGCGAATCCGGATGCAAACAGAAGTAGGCCAGCTGGGATGCGGTGAAGCCATCCTTGCTCGGCCTGTCAGTCGGTTTCGGGCTAGCGGTTTGGGTTTTTAGGGTTGAAAAGTTTAGGGCGCTTTTGGCGTCTATCGCTTTGGGGTTCAGCGCTAAGGGGTTAGAGCTGAGGTTTGAGGGATTTAGGGCCAGGGTTTGGGGTCTATAATATTGGCTAAGGCCACGAGGAAAAGCAAGAGCCGGCTGTGCCGTGTTTGGTGGCGTGGGGCCTTACGAACTTGGATATGAGTTATTGCGATGATGGGTTTTTTTTGATGATCCCTCCCTCAACATAGGAGCAGCAGGGAAACAACATAACTGCAACAGCAACCTCGATCTAAGCTCTCAGCTGCATCACCAATGTCAGCCCTCTGCTGCTGTAGGTTGCCCTAAGCTCTAAACCCTAAGACCTAAACCCCAAAGTCCCAAAGCGCTATCCAGCCCGCCGCGCCTGTGCTTGTCTGCCCCAAGTTTCAGCAGAGCCCTGGCAGACTCGACTTGGTTTTCCTGTGTCGCTATGCGGAGTGCCGTCCAGCCACCGTCAGCCGTGTCGATGTCCTCGGCTGGTTAGGGTTTAGGGCTTGAATCTACAGAAGAGTTGAAAGAATAACGAAAGTAGGAAAGTAAACGAAATTGTCTCTGTATCCCAAAGCCTACGCCGATTTCGGGTTCGGGATAATTTCCAGCTAGCACAGACCCTTCCCTCTGCAGACCCAGGGCTTCAATCCTATGCCCTATGCTTCACACTTTAGTTTAAACCCTTAACCCTACACCCTAATCCCTAAACCCGATACAGATCCCAAATCGCATGTAGGGTTTGGGGGTTTCGGGTTTAGGGCTTCTGCCCAGGAACTGCTCTTTGCTTAACCAGCAGGCGGATGATGTCGACTTGACCATCACGAGCGGCCGCAACGAGAGGGGTCAGATAGCTGACGTGCTTCTCCTTGTCCTTATTTGGGAGCTTCAGATACGTAGCCAGACTGGCACACAGCACCTAAACTCTATCCCAACCCTAAAACCGAAACCCAATATGTTTCCAACCTGGAACAGCGTCTGCCTTCTTGTGCAGCAGTAGCCGGACCTGCAGGGAAATGTCTTCTGCATGACACTCAAGCATGTCGACGTTAGGAGTTTGATTGCTTTGGGCTGTGAGGCGTTACGATTTAGAGTTTATGGCGAAGGGTGTAAGGCTTTAGATTCTAAGGAGATAGCCAACACGATTGTAGCGCTCTAGAATTCTAACTGACATGTACAAACTTGCGGCTTGTCCATTCTCAGCCCTTTTGTGCTGGCAAGCGCTCAGATAGCAACCTTAAACTCAGAGTTCTACTCTGCCGCCTGCAGTGACGAAGAAAGCTCACGATGGCTGTACATGAGAAATGAAAGAAATTCCTTCAAGCGCCGAATTCGGAACCATGCTCTTTCAGGCATCTGGTAACTGAGCAAATGGGGTTGGAAAACAGGGCAACATGTAAACTGCCCTTATGACCCTACTTACCAGCTAACATGCGCTCCTCCTGGCCGGAAATCACAAATTCTGCAGGTCTGAAGGCCTCCTGCAGAGTCAACGGACCCTGAGACCTAACAGCCAAACTTTGGTGACCTTTCTGAAGTCCCAGATACCTTACTTACGACATCCCTCGATCTGCCCCAAAATAGTATAGTAGTAGCCAAATATAATTCTTATGCCCTGAAGCTGAACTAGAAGGGGATCCTGGCACGAACCATCCGAAGCCCGTGTTGAATCATCCTAAACCCATGTTCCAAATGTTTGGGGCTCGCTGCAATAAGCGTCGGAAGAAATGTACGTAGTATCGCCTTAGGGCCCCATATAGATGCAGTAAACTACATGCCCAACAACCAGGTTCTACTTATCACGGCCCCGATACTATATTATGTAAACCATAGAACCCTCTAGATCCCTGTGCAGGAACCTTCTAATTCTCCCCCCTGTCGTGGGTTCACGAGACCAAAACCTACTCGATGTAAGGCTTTGCCGAGGCGCCACGTCCTTGTGACCTTTCAAACAGGCCATCGTCAAGGGCCTGAGTTTAGGCTTGGGGTAGGCGTTAGGGTTTGGGGTTTAGGACTTCATATCTGCTCCTTGAGTTCATGCCCCGAGCCCCTAAACCCTAAACCCTAAACCCCCAAACCCCTAAACCCCTAAACCCCAAAACCCCTAAGCCCTAAACCGTAGATTTCATGCAGCTGGAGCTGAGGGGCGAGAGGCCGGGCTCCTTGTTGCACTTGTTGACATCAGCTCGGATCTGGGAGGGTGGCTGACGTGTCTTTTGGGGTGTATTAGGGCTTCAGTTTTTTGTGTTTTCAGTGCAACGGGGCCATTTTCTGCAGAAGGTAGGGTTTTAGGGTTTCGGGTTAAGAGTGAAGGATTTGAGGTTTAGGAAATCAGTTTCAGATTGTTTTGAGGGTGTAGAGCCTTAGGGTTCAACCTTAGGGTTCAGGGTTTAGGAACCAGGGCTTTAGGGTTTTCTTCTTGGGTTTAGTGTTTAGGGTTTGGGGTTTTAGGTTTAGAGGTCACGGCTTCTAAGGTTTAGGGCAAAAGTTTTAGGGGTTTAAGACGTTTAGGGCCTGGGGCTTAAAGCTTCAAGGCTTAAGCTATGCGGCTTTAAGGCTTCAACTCAACCCCTGTAAACCTCTATGAACCCCAAACCTAAGACTAAACCTGATAAACGGCAAACCCGTAAATCCCTAAATCCTTGAACCCTAAACCCTGAACTCGGGTAACTCTCTGAAGTTTCAGGGTGGGGGAGGCTCCACAACCCGGAGCTGTTTTGTTGCTGGAAGCTGTGGGGCGGGCTCTAGGGGTACCTATAGGGTTGAGTGGGGGAGTTAAACGGTTTGCGCAGGTTCTACATGGATTTCAATGAGGCGTCTACAAGCATTGGTTTAATAAGGTTCTACAAGGATCCTGAGAGTTTACTAGAGTTTGTTCGGGGTGTTGTGGTTGAGCTTATGAACTCACTCCGGTTGCGGAACCATAACGGTATTAAACAAACCTTGCAACAAATAACATGCTGCTCATGTCCCAAACCCCAGCCCTGAACTAGACATGAGCCAACTGAGACGGCAGACTTTGAGGAGCCACCGGATTGCGGGAAGTTGTCGCTTCCTGGACTTGTCAAGGAATCAAGGCCTGAATAGTAAATCCCAAAAATAGGGGCTTCGTGTTCGGGTTTTGGGAGCTACCATCTAGCATTCAAAATATGTGCACCATGACAGGTGCAGCTTGTTTACCGTTGAGCACTACTAGAACCATAAACTATGCTGTTTACTACTATCCCTGGGAGTCTTAGTTGGAATGACAAGAAACATTTCTTGAGAACATTACGCAGCTAATGCATTCGGAGTTAAAGTTTGGAGCCGGGGTTTGAGGATTGAAGTCGTAGACGGGTTTAAGACGCACCAGAGAATGTGGAGGATTTGTCAATCAACAGTACTTGCATGTCGAAGGCTCGGGTCCAGGCCTCATGCATTCACAGGCGTGCACATTCTCCAAAAAGTCAGCATGCGGACAGCGCGCAAACGACTGCATATTGCATGGCATCATTCCTGCAAACACCGAACCTCCCGAAACGCTGAAACCCTACACCCCTGCACCCTCAACCGCTGAAGCCCCAATCCGTGCTTACCCTGCCCTGCCAGAACCCTGCCGAGAGTCTCGCACGCGGCGATGAGCGGAAGATCTTCTTCCGAAGTGTAGCGGTTCGGATCTACGCGGGCCTCTTTTCTCTGTGGGGTGGAGAGCTTAGGTTTTGTATAAGGGTCTATCAGGGTTCGAGAAAGCTTTCACAAGGGTTCCGAAAAAATTCCGACAAGGGTTTCAGAAGGGTTCCACAAGGTTTCGTGGGTCGATTGGGATTAGAATTCAGGGCATCCTTGAAGGGCTCACAGGATGTGCGGAAGGCTTCTGAAGTGCCTTGGCACATTGCAAAAAAAACAAAACCCAGAGCCTAGACCCCAATTCCTAAACCCTTATCCCAAATTCCCGGGACTTCCAGTAGTAGCTGTAGAACCCGAAGCCCCAAGCCTTACACCATTCTGATAAGTGCCCCACATCCTGCAGCTACGCTCGGCCTCCAGAAGCACCCGCGCCACACCCAGGCTGCCGGAAGAACATGCTTGTAGAAGCCTGAGTTTGGGTTTAGGGCTTCGAGAACGAAGACGAGGATATCGTGGGGCTTCTGTGTATGTTGGCCTCAGGGCTGGGGAGTTGTAAGGCTCGGAGTCTGCATGGCAGCCCAGGTCCATGGCTTGGGATCGGGAGTTCAACCCCATAGCCTACACCCTAAGCCGTAACAAATCAGCGCACTCTGGGTTCAAGACCCCCAAAGTAGTTCCTTTTGGGGGGCTCATATCAAGAATCCTATATAAGGTAATCCCAAAAAAGAACTACTTTGGGGCAACCCTAAACCCTAAACCAAAACAGGACGAAACCTGAAGGCCGGTGGAGTTCCAGAGCGAAAGAGTCTAGTCGAGCCTACTCATCGTTTCTACAGTATGTAGCAACTTCGGCTCCAGAGTCCCCGCGTAGGAAGCTCCTGTACGGTCCAAACATGTAGAATATAAAGTTCATGGACCACCCAGCAACAAACCTTGAAGTAGTTCTCATAGAAACCCACTAGAACCCTTGTACAGCACTCCTTAAAGTACTCCTCGCGAAACCCAAGACGGGCCGTCACAATTAGAGTAGGGTTTTGGGCCCATTATACTATACTTATAACTCAATAGGGAACACCTGTTTTTGCATGGTCGGACAGGTTTAGGGTTTACCCATAGGCCCCAAACTAGTTCCTTTTTTGGGGTTCTCATGTACAACACTATAAGATAATCTCAAAAAGGAAATACTTTGGGGCCTATGGGTAGGTTTAGGGACTTATTACTCGGGCTGACGGCAACGACCACGAAAACGACGACGGCAATAACAACCACGCGGAAGGGGACGACCTCACCTCCCAAAAGCCACAATCCACAATCCCAGAGCTGTTTGCCGCAATATTGAAAGGGTTCAGGCTTCTCCGCTTCAGCTTCAGGCAGACCAATATGAGAATAACAATTCGGAAAGCATAACAATATTGACAATAATACTTGCGGCTTTACGGCTTCAGGCCCTCCTTTCTAAGAAAGGCCGGGAGCTTCAGCCTCTGATCGCAGCAAGACACGGTGTCGACCCGTCAATGGCCTCCTGGTAGATGTTTGCCTGGGCTGGACCCTAAACCTAAACCCTCAATGGTCAACATCAATGGCAGGATCCTTGCTACGTAGCAGAGCGTAAGCACTAGTTGTAGGATGTTCACAATATAACGACCCGTCCATAAGGCACGCTAACCGTCATGCGTACTTGCCGCCACCTCTCCCTTAGTATAGAATTTGGTTTGAAATGTTCGCAAAACCTTTTCGTCACAGACCCTCCAAAGAATTCAAGACTATCAAACACCAGAAGTCCGATCAAACCCAATAAGCCCCCGAAATCCCTGTCAAGCACTGTAAACTTCCCTCAGCCAGGCTACTAACAGGCCTTGCCCTCTACATCCCTAACTCCTCAACCCAAAGCAACAACCCTGGGCTCACTGGGGTTGGGGCTGTTGGTTCTTTAGGGTTTCGGGTTTTTAGGGCTGAAGGCTTCAGGGTTTAGGGCTCCAGTGTTCCGGGCTTCAAGTTTTAAGGGTTTGTGGCCTTGACCCTGATATCCACCAACCCCATCCATACCTCCTCCAAAACATGCTCTGGAAATACAACACATCTCTAAAATCAAAGCCACCTCAATGTATCCTTAACCCCAAGGCTTCTACCTAAACTCCACCCCTTCAAGACCCCCAATGCGTAAAGCCCAACACCTACAGCTTGACAACAAACAAATGTTCGAGTGCAATTACCTGGGGACTAAGGGAACATTATTGCCCTAAGCCCTAAACCCCTAAACCCCTAAACCCCTAAACCCCTAACCCCTAAACCCCTAACCCCTGAACCCCTAAACCCGTAAACCCCTAAACCCTAAACCCCTAAACCCCTAAACCCCTAAACCCCTAAACCCCTAAACCCCAAACCCCTAAACCCCCAAACCCCTAAACCCCTAAACCCGGCTAAATACTCAACTCTACCCGTCTTCTCGAAGGTGCATTTACAGTGCTCCATGAGCAAAAACGAAAAAGGCTCCGGCACAGCGCCTCGACAGATTTACCTCACTCGAGACAGCACACATAACACTCAGGCCCCGCCCGCACCAACTGCGCGAAAAGCTTCGATACTTTCTTTTCAGGATATTATCCGGACGATCCCAAATGTGTTCAACAAGGTTCGCCTCTCCTGAGCTCCACGCGCTCGGATTACCTCCCGAGCGGGGCCGTTTCCACCTTTGCATGCTTACAACCCACCAAAAAAGTATTCACACTGGAGTCGCTTTCGTCACCAAGTAAGCACGAACATACGCCATGCAATCACTGTTCACCTCACCGAAAAGAGCACCGGCCATAGCGGGGAAAGAGAGCTCGGCGTGGGCTCGGCCGAAAACTCAGCATCGCAGGGGACGATTATTATGAATAACAGATTTGTGCCACATTCGATTGAGATGGCTGCCAACGCTCGCCAGTTCCGGGGAACCTGGCTTGGCATCATTGAAACATACAGCATGAAAGCAAAACATTTACTGAAAGACTCGCCTTGAAGCCGAAGTCGGGGTGTTGTTTTGCAGCCTCACGCTATCTTGGATCGACAGTAGCCACGTACAGCTAGCACTCAAGAACAATTAGATTTGCAAGGTCACAGTCTTGTGGGTAACGTCACTTAGCCGGTAGGCAAAGTCTTGAATTTCACAATATAGGTCGTACATCGCGGAGACCCACGAATACGACGAGTAGAACGACAGGTCCCAAACAGACTTTAGAGCGCCCAGAATGTAGCAGGCAACCGGCAGACAGATGCGGAGCATCTTTCAGCATAGTGCCGAAGAGATCCAGACGAGCAATACAGGATCCCTGTTTTTAAACGAATCAAGAACCCCTGAGACAAGGCAGTATGGGAAAAGAGGTCGCCAGTCTAGGTTGAAAACGCATTCAATTCCGGCACAGAAATACTCAGGAAACACTTATTCACGTGCACATGCCGGACAACGAAGCATACTAAGTGGCCCGCCCGAGCACGTTTGCGACCACGCCGCCCGTGTCCATGGTGCCCGTGTCGGAGCGTGCAACACACGACAACTTCATTTGGAAACTTTAACAGCCACTCTTTTAGTTTACCAGCGACCGAGAGCAAGACAAGGGATGCAGGCTGTACCGAAGCCTACAAGCGCACATGTCATGAGAGAATACGCTCTCCGCAAAACAAAAGCAGCAACAGCAAGCCGAGAACGCCTGCAGCCAGTTGAGGAACTCCGACACCTACAGAACCAAGAGGGCGCACTTTCACAGTAAGAAAGAACCCACGCCGCCTAAACCCTAAACCCCTAAACCCTAAACCCCTAAATCCCTAAAGCCTAAACCCCGAAGGCCCCTCAACTCCAACCTGCAGTTATCAGCTCTTATGGGCACCAAAGCTAATGCTATTGTCTGACTATTGTCTGGTTCAACCCCGAAAGCCTTCACGGTTTAGGAAATTTTAGGGTCTAGGGTTTAGGGCCTGAGGGCCTGAACCCATAAATACCCTAAACCACTCCGAAAATTCGAACTGCAACTGGCTGCTTTGCCCTTGATGAGAGCGCGTGTCACTTCTACCCGGTCTTCGCAGGCAGCCATGACCAGTGGAGCTGCCTTGTCCTTAGTCTCGGGGTGTTATGGTTCTTTTAACAGGCTCCTCAGGGTTTAGGGTTGAGAGCGTCGGGCTCTCAAGCATTTAGGGCTTGTGTCAAGTTGAGGTGACTTGTGGGTTTAGGAGTTGGGGTTTCTCCAAGAGGCTAACAAGTTCTTTTGATATTCCTTAGCACTGCTTTTGGGATGTAAAAAGCAAAGGTACCCCTGTGTGATCTTTACAAAGGTCTTGCGATTGGCCTTACATTTGCCTTGTGAGACCCTACAACCTGCAATGAGGAGGATTTGTGATGCCGGGTGTTAGGCCGAAGGCTCACAAAGCTTTAAAGATTAAAGGGAACTCCAGAAAGTTGGAATATGGTTTCATGGTAGGATACCCTATGATTTACCATAGAAGTTTCATAGAAGGTTAGGATAATCATATTCCAACTTTCTGGCTTTTACCTTAAGGATATGCTTGGTGTGACCGTGTAGGATTTAGAACTGGTTTCTGCCCATAGACAACGAATCCAGATTTGCCCTCAAAGGTACACCACCCTAGCCGTGCACCCTTACACCCAAAGGATGCTGGGTGTCAGTTGTAGCAGCTCTGAAAGACAAGGGTGAAACGCTTGTGACTGCGACTGCTACTCGTCTTCTTCATATGTCATGCCCATGTTACGTGTTTCGCAGCAGCACGCCAAGAAGACCTTACAGCCGCTGAATCCTACACTGCACTCACTCCACCGTCCTCGACGCCAGACCCTAAGCACGCACACCAATGACAAAGCAACGCTGCGTCGACCACACATATCCCAGACCTCAAAGTACCGCTGAAGACCCAAGACATTGAACAACCCCTCATGCAAAAAATGAACAGTACGCGCCCCAAACCCTGTACAGAGCCCTGTCCTGCCCTGCCTGCAAACCCGTGTATAACAACCCCACACCACACCCGAATAAAACCTCTCACCGATCCTGCGGTGGGACGACTCAGGCTAAGATTTAGAACCTTCAGGTTTTGGGGCCCTAAACCCCAAACCCTACTATACCCAAGTCGGTTCAGGACCTAAGAACGTTTTAAATGCTCAGGGCTGAGGCGAGCCGCCGGGTCCGCACCAGCCTGGCGAAACGCAGCGGCGTAGGAGTGAAAGGAATGAGGGGGGGGCGGGGAGGGGGATAAGTGGGTTAGGGGGCGACAAGGATAAGTAGGGTTTCAGGTCCGCTTGCAAAAGTTGGAGGCTTAGGTGAGCTTTGGATACATGCCTCATCCTCGGCTTTACAGTTCAGGGTATTGTAAGGTCGCTTTTGTCCTCGTGGTGATTCAGCCTGTGACGAGACTCCAAGCCCAGAAACTCTTAAACTCCGTATGCTAGAGGCATTTACTAAAGGGTCAATAATTACCTCTACTATTCTGGAGGTTCCTTAACATGTTTACAGTATAAAGGGCCCCAAAACACTATTCTAACTATTGAGGCCCCTATATTATACCTCTCCCCCAGGATCCAATAAGTTACAAAAGTGATGATACTACGTGTGTATTCATACTACGCATGGCGCGAAGTAGAGGTCTGTATAACTGCCAGTAGTATCCCCGCAAAGTCGTTATATATATATATATATATATATACATATATATATATATATATATATATATATATATTATACAAGTTTACTCAACTACAGCCCAGCACCCTGTTCTAATTGTTAAGGCCTTTATGCCATGGCCTCCTATCCCCCTCACCCTGACGGTTACACGAAGCCCGTTGCCTCCAGAAGCACCTCTGCGATGTCTGCATGGCCTTTCTCCTGCAGGCGTGGGCTTTGGGGCTTAGATTTCGGGTTTGGGTCTAGGCTACAGCAGCTGGAACTTGGGGTCTGCGAGAGCGTTCGAAGTTTAGGGCCTCTACCGTAGGGTTTAGGATATAATATAAGTTTTTGGGCTTAGACCCGTTTAGGCGTCCAGCTAAGCAAGAAAATCACATCCGCTCGGGGTGAAAGCAGGAGTTATGGGTCTTGTTAAGCCCCTGATGACCCAAACCCAAAACCGAGCCTGAACCCCCACGAACAAATCAGAAATCGTAAAGAAGAAGAAGAAGCTAAACCTACAAGACGGATCGTGACTTACAGACTGTGTTTTCAATGGCGAAGGGTCAGGCAGCGACGGACACAAACATAGAAATGATGCCTTAGCGGGGCTAACATTCCCTTACATCCTACATCACCCTTTGCGCCTCCCCAAGTTGTTCAAGGTTGAACTTAACCCTAAACCCTGAACCCTAAACCCTGTTTCATCATGACCGTGCGGACGCTGTGCGACTCGGGGCCGGCAGTTGAAAGCTTATGACTTTCTGAGGTTGATGGGGGGGGTAAGACCTTAGGGAGTTTAGGGTTTGGGATTTATGGGCTAATGTTGCAAGGTATTGCACCCACATAGATTATCAGATCATCATAGTTGCACACAGATAGGTCCTTAATAAGTCGAATGGGGTTTTGGGGTATAGTATGCAGTAGACAGTAGAATGACCTAAAGCCTAAACTATAATAAGTATGTTAACTAGACCCTCAAAACCAACCCTGAAACCTAAAGCCAGCAACAGCCAAGTCACTGCAGCGACGAGGAGTGCGGTCGCTCCCTGGCCCCGTTCTGACTCGACGTCTACGCCAGCTCTTGCCTAAGGCTGTCTGGTTCTTAGTCAGGGATGGCCTTAGGGTTCCTTTAAAGGGAACCTTTAAGGGATCCTATAAAGGGATCTACAAAAATTTGCATTACTGTCTACGCCAGCTCTTGCCTAAGGCGGTACAGTCTTCAGGGTTTGAGGGTTTCCTTTTGCGCTGGGTTGGAGGCTTGGGGCTCAGGGCTTAAGGGTGGAGGGTTTCGGGCTTACACTTTAGGATTCCAGGGGAAAGTTTGGGGTTTAGAGTTTTTAGGATTTGGGGCTTCAGGGTTCGGGGATTTAGGGGCTTGGGGTGTCATTTCTGTCAGGACCCCTAGATTTTTGAACCCATGAAGGGAGAACCTGATCTTTGCCTCAAACACTACACGCGTCACCGTCGAAGAAGATCGGATCTAAACCTATGAGCTGGTCGTTTGCATCTCCAGGATCCCGGTTTAGGGTTAGGGTTAATTGGGGTTAGGGCTTCGGGAGTCTGCGTTTGGGTTAGGGCCCATTCATGACCTAACCGGACTAAGTCTGTTGGAGGGCAAATCAGCTCTTTGCGCCGAGAGAAATGCGAAGTCACCAACATTCTGTCTGGTTCTTAGTAGGGAATGAGGAAATGGATCCCTATAGTAGCCCTTCTATCATCCCCAAGAAGAGGCCCGACTATCCATTCCCCCATTCCCTGCTTGTCGGAAGCCGTCGTTCCAATTTTGGGAACTCTTCCAGGTGTTGATCTTTGCATGAAGCCCGAGAGGGGTGGGGGTGGGCGGGGGGCGGGGCATCGAATCATGCAGAAGGTGTACCCTGACCCGGCAGGAATTGAACGAAGAATGGGTGAGATCCACAGCGGCATCTACTGCTGAGTTCAAACTATCGCCCCACCTTCAGCAGCCTCCATGGAAAGCCCTTGCATAAAGTTATTCCCCTAAGCCCTAAACCTCAAATCCTCATAAAGTTATCTACCCTTGCTGGGCTCAATTAGGCTCTGTTAGCACTGGCCTGTAGAAGCTGGCGTGTGACGGCCACATGTCTGTGCACAGCCGCCCACATCAATGGACTTGCCTGGGGTGGTGAGGCTTTATTGTCAGGGTTTAGGGCTGAGGGCTTTGGGTTTAGGGTTTTAGAGTGACAGTTGGGACTGGACCAAAGCCTTCTGTGCAAGGTACGTCTTGTTGATAGGAGCTCGATACAACAAAGACCCCTCAAAGGGACCTGGCACAACCAACCACCCCTTCACGCGGGTTGACGGGGTCTTTATGCCCAAGCTTATTCTCGGGTCCTCAATTCCCGTCGCGATCTACTGCCTAAAAAGTTTACATCTTGTTCTTCGTTCATTCGTCTGATTATGTGTGTGCACAGATGTGTATACTTCTACATACGTACCGAGAGAAGAGAGAGAGAGAGAGAGAGAGAGAGAGAGACCGAGAGAGACACAGAGAGACAGAGAGAGAGACAGAGAGAGAGAGAGAGAGAGAGAGAGAGAGAGACAGAGAGAGAGAGAGAGAGAAAGAGACAGAGAGAGAGAGAGAGAGAGACAGAGAGAGAGAGAGAGAGAGACAGAGAGAGAGACACAGAGAAAAAAGAAGCCCTAAACCCCGAACCAGAAGCCCTACAGCCAAAACGCTAAACCCCAAACCCACAACTCCCATAACCCGAACCCTACACGCCCTAAACCACGAACCCAAAACCCCTGACCCAGAACCGCGCGAGAAACAAGGGGTCGCTGGTAGCCAGCAGCACGCCCGACGCGGCGTCGCCGCACGGCCCCTTATAGAATTGGTGTAAACCCCTTTACAATAATTAGTGCAAAATCCATGAAGAATCCACACCCGGAAACCCTAAACCCCAAAACCCTAGATGGACCCCTAAACCCCTAAATCCGAACCTAAAGCCCCCCTAACCCCAAAACCCCTAAACCCCTGAACCCCGAAAGGAATCGACCCCTCGGTCAGCACCAGAACACTCCGTGGTCTCCGATCATGTCCACGTCAGCCCGGGCCTTGCCCCCAGGGCCGTAGATTTGGGGGCTTTCGGCATTTAGGGGCAAGGTTTAGGGCCTTGGGGGTTTGGGGGCTTAGGGATTTAGGGTTGAGGGTTTAGCGGGTTGGGGGGTTACGGGTTATGGACGAGAAGCCGTGGCCTGCCCGGGCATTGTCAAAGCACGCCGATGGAAGTGACACAAAAAACTCGCAACCGTAGTTTGCCCACGTAACCGCGCGGGCACGGCCCTCAGTTGCGGCCAGCGGTGGCCTGAGACATGTGTCCATGCAACGGGTTTTACACCGACAATTCGCTAGCCACGGCCGAGAACAAGGCATCCGTCCGGGGCACGACGTCCAGTATGACGATGTCGATGTAGCGTGCCCAGTCCTATGATGCGAGTTTGATGCTCAAGGAATTCCTTACAAATGGATTGCAAGACGCTGTCCCGCTTGAGTTGCATCATGTATGGGGCGGGGTCCATCCATCCGTACAGGTCATTGCCTCGCATGGATCTCGATGCAGGGTAATGCGTCTGATTTCTCGACAATGCTGGGCTAACAGCCTGCACAGAGGAGGAGGACCGTGTCGCCCCAGTGAAGCTTGCTTTCGTCCCACAGGCGCCCTTAGTCCGTGCATCGTGGTGTGTCTTGCCATTTGCATAAGATGGAACTGCGGCATCATGTAGAAGAGCATCTGTCGCATGTATTGCGGATATGGCACAGAGGTGGTGGTCGAAGTTCTTCCTGCCTCCGGACGTGTGTCCCCAGGCTGGGTAGGCCCGGGGGAGCATCATCCCCGCCAGCCTCCCATCCCGATCCTGCCAGTGCTGGTGTTCTGAACCAAAACAAGAGAAGCAGCAGAAAAATGTGCGAACGATGCTGGCTGCCTGGACGTGGCAGAGGCGCGAATCCGATATTACCACCGTGGCGCCCCACTCCTTCAAAGATTTCCACGGCAAGAGTTGTTGTGTGCTACTTCCTATAGCATGACGGGGTGTAATGCTAGCGTTGCAAGGACAGTCCTGCATGGCCTCTTGGACGATTGGGGCCATGCAGGCGAATCCGAACACGTTCAGGTGGTAGCCGTCGCCGCTCCAAAACTGGCTACCTCAGATGCGATCGGTTACATGCAAGCTCGCAAGATGGGGTGAAGAGAGTGTCGACCAGCTGCCATGGATCTGGCAATGATCCAAAAGTGCTCGGATCCGATTGTTCTCGCCATCGAAGTGCGGGCACATGGCCTGACAAGTGCATGTTCTGCAGAATCGGCTAACGAAACGTGTCACGACGCAATGCTCCGCTTCTGTCGCTTGACACTATGCCTCGTACACTTCGAATGGAGCCTGCATGGTTTCAGAAATGCAGCTTCACGTTCAGATAATTGTCTGCAGCTTTACACTGCTCGCTGGCCTGGGACATTGTCAGGCCAGATACAAACTCTTGCACACGCAACTGCAATCGAGCGGATCGGATCCGAAAGCTGCGGCACGAACATCTGCACGGTGGGTTCTGACAGCCCGGGTGATGATACGTCATGCCTTGTTCAGTGACTGCAGCAGAAGAAGCTAAGGCAAGCACCCCTCTTGAAATTCCTCGTCGGTGACGTTGAAGGAACCGTCTGCAGGGTATAAACCTGGAAAGAGATAACGTTGCTTCTCAACAAAATTTTTCAATATACTGCAACACGACGTGGGTTACAACAGCGCCGGCGTATGACCCAACTTGAAAGATCTGCAATGCGGCGTGGATTGTAACAGCGACGGCCACGACCAAACTTGACAGATCTACAACGCGGCTTGGGTTTCAACCGCAAAGGAGCGACCAATCCTTGAAATATTTGCACCACGGCATTGGTTACAACAGCGATGGTTCGTGACCAAACTAGAATGATCTGCAACGTGGCATGGGTTACAACAGCAATGGCGCGCGACTGAGCTAGTAAGATCTGCAGAATTGCGTGGGTTACAACAGCTATGGCGTGGGTTTCAACAGTGACGGCTCGCGACCAGCCTTGAAAGATCTGCGAAAGGTGGCGCGGGTTGCCACAGCGACGGGCGTTTCGGGGTTTAGTGGTTTAGGGTTGAGGGTTTAGGGGTGTTTAGGGTTACGGGGTAGGACTTGGGCTTTAGGCTTTAGAGTTTAGGGGCATCGATTTGCAGCTTAGGGGTTATACGGGTGAAATCAGATTCTCTTGGGTGTCATGGGCTGCTGCTGCTGGGTGTAGAGGGTGCTTGTAGAGTTGTCATGCTCATTTTCTATGCTCATTTTCTACGCTCTGGCAAGGTTCTGCAGGTTTTCTGGGGGATTCTGACAGGTCTTCGAAGGCTTTGATGAGGCTTGCACAAGGGACGGTTTGCAGGGCTTCTATGAAGCTCCTACAGTGACAGCCGTGCTGACGGACAAAATCCTGCAGCACCCTAGGTGCCATGAAGTCTGGGAGCCATTATTATATTAGGCAAGAAGGATCCTGAAGGCCTTTCCAATCAACAGTACCTCAACTCCAACCGTGGGATTGTGCTAAGGCTCTCGGGTGCATCTTCAACATCATTCTTTGCCCTGGTACTCCCAAACTTGGAAGACATCTCCTGGATCATGGTCACTATAACCCTAAACCCTGAGCCCATCTTGCAGGATCAGGGGACTCAACTGGGGTGAGCAGTGGAGTCACTGTGCTGCGCAGCCTAGTTGCAAAATCGCACGATCCGCTGGGTTTAAGTAACAGCCCGAAGCCTCACCCTTAAACCAAAAGCCGAGGGCGCCGCGAAGCCCTAAACCCTACAACCCCCAAACTGAAATCCCGAAGTCCTAAACCAAGAGCCGAACACCCCTAAGCCCTACACCCCCTAAGCCTAAACCGTAAACTCGAAGACCGCAAACCTCGACTCCTAAATCCCCCAAACCCCACGGAGCCTCCAGCAAAAGGGCGATCACTATTGAGTGACCCAGGAGTGATGCAGTACCTGCTGCTTTCAGGGCTTCAGGAATTTCAGGATTTCAGTGCTTCAGGATCTGAAGTTTAGCGTAGAGGGTTGAGGGTGTAGGGTAGATTTTGGGGGGCTTTCTGTTCCGGGCTAGGGAAGCAGGGTTCTTGGAAATTGAACTTGGAGCGAGCTTGTTGCTCCCATCGAACCCTTCAAGACACGTAACGTTTAGGGATTGGGGTTTAGGGGGCTAGCGCAAATTATCTTTCGCCTTGGGCTCATTGGAAGTAGTCTTCCGGACACTTTGCGGCCCAATTGGCTCCCACGACAACTGTTCGAGCCTGGGGTGGTCTTTGAATTGAGTGAACCGGTGAAGTGATTGCGGGGGTTACAATGCCCCAAAATACCGCCCTAAAGCCAGAGTTACAAATCAGAAATATCAACTAGGTTATCTACTGGCACCTAAGCACCGTAAACCCTAGACCCTAAACCCTAATCCCGCTTGCTGAAACTCAAAATGTCAATCCCCGCTGCCTGGGTAGAATACGACTGTCAAACCCGCAGAGTAATATAGGGGCCTCAATAATTGGAATAGGATTCCTCTTAAGGGTTGCTTTTAAAGGGGTCTGTACGGATTACTATAAGGAGTATTATGGGGGCGTACTGTAGGGGCCTTGAAAATTAGAGTAAGGTTTTGGGGCATATGATACTATAATTAGAATAAGGAACCCCCAAAATACTAGTCGTAATTATTAAGGCCCCTATATTAGTGTCCCGTTATTCGTGGTTTTTGGCGGAGGGTCTTATGGCGTGAGGCCTTGCTTGAAGGTGAGCGGAGTACGGGCTGTTAAAGACAGAAGCCCTGACAACGATAAACTGGGTTCTTGTTAAGGAATGTAGTTAAACTTGCCATAATAGGGATCTATAGTAAATTATTATGGTTTCATGATTATCATGGCAACTTAAATTAAACCCCCTAAAGAGAACCCAGTTCAGCTTCCAAATCTACAAAGCTTAGGCATTGAAAGACTTCCTTCCAATGAGCCCCGAAATCCATAAAACCCTAAACCCAACACCCTGGAACACTAAACCCCCTGAAGCCCAAAAGCCCCAAGCCTTAAACCACCAAACACCAAAACATCTGAACTTTTAGCTGCTCTTTAGGGCACATAAAGCACTGCTGCTGCGCTCATCCATGGCATTGGGATCATAAGGCCTCTGCCGCTGCTAACATAGGAGCCCTAAAAGTTAGGAAGGGCTTGAGAGGTAGGCAGGACTTTGAGGCATACTGTACTATTAAGGATGCCTGAGGATGTATATCTTCTTTTCTACACTATACGGATGAATTTAGTGTGCCGGGACACGCGCGCTGTTCGAAAAAGCTTGGGCTTTGAGTTTAGTCTTTCGTCCGTGCTGCATACTTGGGTTTTAAGGTTCATCCGAAATGCAAAACCCCTAAACACTTTAAACTTAAACCCCAAGCCCCTCAGCGCTGAGACTCGGAGCCTTTAAGGCTTTCGCTCCTGTTGATCGCAGACATGGCGCCATTGGACCCCTGAGTTTAGCGTTTAGGGTATAGGGTTTAGGGGGGACTCGGCATCGCAGGACGGAGCGAGAACGTGAGTTTGGTCGACAACGGCACCGACCGACGTTTGCGGAAGCCCGGAACCGCCAAACATGATGCGGTCACCTAATATAAAGGCCGTAAGAATTAGACTAGGGTTTTGTGGCCAATTGATACTAAAGTTATAGTAAGGAACTACCAAAATAGGATTGGTAATCATTAAAGAACCTATAGCATCGAACCCCTTTGACATTGAATCCCAGAGCCCCATGCTGTCACCACGCTGCTCGTGTAATGAACCACACCACACGAAGCCGGGCCAAACTTTCAGGCCTCTGAAGTGCACACTCCACAGCAGTGGGCACATTCGCACCGCAGGCGAGACGCAACCTCATCGCAGGTCAGGGCAGCCGAAGGGCAGAACGAATCAACACATCATCAATAAAAACAACAGTATATAGCAACGCTAGTCATATGAATCGTCAACAACAATGGGCGGTTAATTGAGTCTTCGTAACAGCTGCGCGTCCTAGCCAAGTAGGCTTCGGCTTGGGCAGCTCAATGCCAACGGCCCGAATCCCAAATAATCGCGGTTTATGCCAATCTCAGAGTTGCACAATAACTTGGCTCCCTTGACAAGAAGTTGCTCTACATAATGCTAAGAGCGAACACCCAGGCTCCGACGCCCCTAAGACCCGAATCGGACGAAGAAAGTCTGAAGCCCCTGACGGCCACGTCAAACAAGCCGGCAAAGCAAATAGCAACCGCCGGTTCGGGGCTGTTAGCAGCAAAGTGGGAATCCTTGAGCCATACTTCGTTATTGATTCAGCATAGAACTTGGTTACCACCATTGTTTGCAGCGGATCGTGATTCTTGCTGGCATCGTAGTGGTAGAAGAAACTATTGTAGTAGTAGACATAGCAGCAGTCGTCGTCGTAGTACTAGTAGCAGCAGGAGCAGCAGCTACTGTTGTTGCCCCGTGTAAACAAGTACCATGGCGAGAAGCTCATCGATGGTCTCAGTGGTTGCCTCGATAAACGGGACGAGGATGAGCTGCAATTCCTGAGTTACGGCAATCGGCGTTAAGTTTAGAGTCTGTGGTTTAAGGTCCTCTACAACACGCCCACCGCGCAACTCCTCATATGGCTAAGGAAGAATCTTCCTACACCAACTAGTTCCTTTGCTGCTACTACTACCACGACTACGACTACGACTATGACTACGACGACGACTGCCGCTGCTACTGATACTGCTGCTGCCATGCTGCCACTGCCTGCCAAAGGCACTGCCACTGCTGCTGCTACTGCTCCTGCTCCTGCTACTACTACTACTACTACCACCACCACCACCACCACCACGACTACTACTACTACTACCACCACCACCACCACGACTACTACTACTACTACTACTACTACCGCTACTACTACGACGACGACTACTTCTACTAGGCGGCTTCTTGTCATGTGCTACTGAAGCCTCGAGGCTGCAGGCGTGACCTGTCTGTTCAGGGCTCGTTTCAGGGCTACATTAAGGCTCTAGAAGGGTTTAGGATTTTACATGTAGGGCTCCTTCAAACAAGCTAAGTTCTGGTGTTGGTCAACTGGGAGGTGGTGCAAGACGACCCAAAATTAAAAGAAGCGACTAAGAGGAGAGCTTTACTAAGTTAAAACCACCAGAAACCATTCGGAGTATGGCTGGGTACTTTGGAGGTTTAGTGACAATGGCTTGGACTTCAAAGTTTGCGACTAGCAGGATGCTCTTGCTTCATTTTCTAGAAGCATAACTCCACGCCGAGTAGCCCCAAAGAACTACACCAAACCCGAAGCCCTTATACAACTATTCAACTCAAGACACCATGTTGCCGCTCAGCTTGTCCCAGTCTTTCAGCAACACACCATCTGGCCTGAGTTATCAGTTGGACGGGATGCTGATGCAAATGCAACAATTTGATCTGGGTATTCTGTTAAACATACTTAGAATCAGGAGCTTAGTGTACAGGTCTTGATACTTGGAACGCGGTCGAACCTTATGTTACGGTACTGTTCTATAGGACTCTAAGTGGATATCATTGTCATTGCTAACCAGACTATACTGAACTTAGAACCCTAGCAAACACTATAACTTTAACTGTTTCTTAGGGATTATAATGACCAAAAATTAAAAGAATATTTCTAAGTACCCCTAAGCAGACAGGATCCTGCATACATAATGTTGCGGACAGCATATTGCCTCCAGTCTTTGTAGGAGCGTGACGGCAACTGACCCTGCTAGATTGAAGCTTCTGCTGCGATAGTCTGTGGGATTGAGCTTCAGGTTTTCGGGTGGGGTAGTCAGATCATAGCTGAGCGCTTTTGGATTACATTTTCAGGATGACCCCCATGCCCGAAACCCTTAATTCCATTCGCGTACGAGAGACTCCTGCACGAGCCGCTGCCTGTAACGAGTGTAGCCAACAATGTGCTGCAAGTGCCTGAGGGAAGGTCTCTGCTGTTGAGCCCCCTGTACCATCTTGATGAGTGCATGAGGTAGGGTGTGTGCATGCATGTGCGTGTGTGCGCAGTTTTTTAGGGTTTGGTACGTATAGAAAGGGTGCCGTGGGAATATTGGTGAGTGTATATCCGTGCGGCCAGTATTGAAAAACGGCGCATCAACTTATTGAGCAGACTGCTATGCCGGTCTTTCACAAGAGCGTTGCGTCGGTGAAGTGGTACACGGGTTTAGTCGTGGTGTGAACACGACACCCGGGTTTTGGGACGGTAGGTTGTAGCGTGCTCACTACGGGGGAATACAAAGCAAATGAAGAGGTAGTCATTCAACAAGAAGGATTTCTTAGAAAGCCCTGACTAGGATACTTAGTAACCTTGGAATAAAAAGGCCTCTCTTTTTGGTATTGGGTAACTTTATAAGGAACCTAGGACTACAAAAAGGGAATAAGGGTACTACTGGACATCCAAGACAAGAAGGATTTCTTAGAAAGCCCTGAACAATCAAAAGAGGCTCTGGGGCTCCGAACGCCGGATTCGAGAGATGGCGGCTTCTTCTCTCAAGTCAAAGAACCGTCAGGCACGAGTAAATATGGGAGCCTCAATAATTGTAATAGGGTTTTGGGGTTTAGGGTTTAGGGGTTTAGGGGTTTAGGATTTAGGCTTTAGGGTTTTGGGGCCCATTATACTGTAAATATAATAGGGAAGGAGGAAGCTGTGTCGAGAGCAACCCCCGCCATCCAAGAGCCATACTTCAGGGCTGGAGGGGCGATTCACCCCTCTACCATATTCAGGTTCTCCTGCTTATATCATAATACTATAATACAAGTCATATTATTATATTGCTATATTATTATATTGTTATATTCGTAGATTTTTATATTAATATATCATTATATTAGGCTCTCCCTGCCAAAACAGAGGCACCAGGTTTCGGGGCAGGGAACATTGTGAACTGTAATCCGAAACCCTCTCAAGCAGAGCGATGCAGCAGGAGCACCGCTTCAACATGAGCACGGGCCATGGATGATCTCCGACAATAGTCTCGTGGACTTCCTGACTGTGACATAGGGGTTTTCAACGTAGCGGTTCGGGCTTACGGTCGTGCTTAAGGGCTTATGTACATTGCATTTTCGAGCTGTGCCCCTGACACTCATCACAGTATGTGTTGCTTGCCAGTGCGGAATGGGTTTGGAGGGCTGTCCTACGGAACCTAAACCCTAAACCCTAGAACTGTAGAGCCCCAAACCCTAAACCCTAGAACCGTAGAAGCCCAAACCCTAAACGCTAGAACCGTAGAACTCCAAACCCTAAACCCTAGAACCGTAGAACCCAAACCCTAAACCCTAAACCGTAGAGCCCTGACACCTAAACCCTAGAACCCCAAACCCTGAACCCTAGAACCGTAGAGCCCTAAACGCCTAAACCCCAAAACCTAGAGCTCTGACCGCCCGATCCGGGCTCCTCCATGGGCAGAACCAGAATCTCCTCCCCCGACATGTTCCGAACGCGCCTGGTTGAGGCTTTAGGGTTTGGGGTTTTCGGGTTTAGGGTTTTAGGGTTTAGGCTTTAGGGTTTAGGGTCTAAGGTGTCAGGATTCAGGGCATAGGGTTTAGGGTTTAGAGCTTCGGGGTTTAGCGTGTAGGGCTTCATGATTCATGCCCGAAGCCAAGAGACGACGTAAAGCACCCCCGAAACAAACTAAACCTCAACACCCCAAGGCAAGAACCCAAAACCCCAAAGCCTGGGACCCGACACTCTCAGCCAAATTTCACCCCTAATCCCCAAGCCCAAACCCGAAATTTCAAGCCTCCGCATCCTCACTCACGTCTTACACAAGCCATCTGCCACGACGGTTGTTCAACCGTGTGCACAAGCACATGTCGATGCTTGCAGGGATGGTGATGATGATGATGATGATGTTGATGTTGATGATTATGACAGTGATGATGATGATGATGATGACGACGTTGCTGATGAAGAAGAAGATGATATGATGGTGAAGTTGACCATGAACATTGCGATCAGGATACCCAGCTCCAACCAGATCATGATAAGGGTTCCAATGATAACGGCGACAACTATTGCCAGGGTGATTCTGCCAACTGTACCGTGAGTGGTATCGGTACACCTTTCCTTGCGGCGGCCGGCACATACTACCAGCAACGGCTATCATCAAGATCGCAGTTACTCTAAACCCTACACCCTAAAAGCCCTAAAAACCCTAAGCCCTAAATCCTAAAACCCTAAAACCCAAACCCTAAAACCCTAAACCGTAAACCCTGAACCCTAAACCCCGAACCCCAAGAGCCTGGGCTTCCGTATCAGAACCCAACCGTGATCCGTATATGAAGGAGGGGGATCTGCCAATCAGGTTCTATATTATGATTTCTGGACCGTTTCGTAGTTTCCATAGTGCCATGGAGACTTGCCCGATCTTGCATTCTGTAAGACTGCGTTTTCATGCCATAGATACTGACATGGACTTAAGCTCCCGGAACCCTGCTTCTCCTGTCCTACCACTCGTCATTTATCCTGATTCTCCTAGACCCTTCAAATTCCGAAACCCAAAGTCCTTAAGCTCTTAATCCCGATGCCCTAAACCCTTTGCAACTCCAGCATCTCCCACAAGCCGAAGCACAGCAGTTCTTCTCCCATCGTGGCGAAGACGGCGCGCCCGTCGACGCCGGCGCACGCAGCGCAGAGTCGGGCGGAGGCTCAAAAGATCTAAGGCTGCTGGAGCCAAACGAGCAATCGCAGCCCGGTGTCCGAAACTCTGAACCCTACGGTTTAGGGTTTAGGGTTTAGGGTTTAAGGTTTAGGGTTTAGGGTTTAGGGTTTAGGGTTCCTACAATTCAAGGGCAAACCCTAAAGATACAAAAGGGAAGCCGGTTGGGGGGTTAGGGTTTAGAAGAGCTCGGTGTCCAAACCCTATAAGCACTAAGCGCTAAAGCTCCGGCTGGAGGAAAACCCTAATGTCGGGGCCTTAACAATTAGAATAGGGTATGAGGGTATAGTATACTATAAGTATAATTATGAGCCCACAGAACCCTCTTCTAATTGTTAAGGCCCCTACTATAGAACCCTTTAAAGAACCTCTTAAAGGCACAATTCTAATTATTAAGGCCCTTTTATTAAACCCTAAACCAAGGCTGGGGCGATTCTCGGAATCCAGCTTCGTCCTCCAAGCCCTCACCACTGTGCCTCCGGACGCCACGAAGACCGGTTTAAGGGCCACGACGTTTTCTGGAGAGACCGGGCCGTTTACTCGGGTTAAAACTTACGTTTTGCTTTTTGAAAGCTCCTTCTCGTGTAAGCTTTAGGGCTAAGGGTTTAGACATAGCTAGCTCAGGGGTGTTGCAGACTGTAGATCCAAAGACCTGCTGACAAGGCACCACAGATGTCCTTGAGATGCGTCAAGAAGAGCTCCTGTTTCGGACTTTGTGGAAATCCCTGCTAAACCCTAAACCACAAACCGTAAACTCTACTTCTTGAAGCATCAACACTCAACCCCTCCATCCCGCATAGTCCGTAGTACACAAAATGCAAAACTTAGTCAAATTTACTGAGGCCCAAACCGACCAAACCTGAGTCCAGACACTTGAAACTCCTGGCGCAAGGACCTTCATCAGCAGAATAGGGTATTGGGGCATACTCTCGTAGCATTATATAGGCTACCATGAGGGTCTACGAAAACTGATTGTTCCCGTATACAGGTGTGACGACGAGGCCGTAACACGAGGTTTTTGGGATTTAGGGTTTAGCGTTCAGGTGTAACATGAACCCCATATCGAGAACCCCAAAATGAAAAGGGTGCATTGTATAACGTTTGGGGCCACATAGAAATGCATAATCCAAAGCATCGACTGCAGCATGATATTGCCTTTGACGTCATAACGAAACATGAAACAGCGCAACATACTGAAGTACACCATAAATATTTACTAGCATGGCATGACACAACATGAAATACCCCAGGGGAGTCCAACCCTAAACACTAACACCTACACCCTTCACCCTTGAACAACAAACCCGTACCTTAGGTACGGCCCCCACTCAGTAATAGTAATAGTTGAATAATATTCATAATATAGATATATTAGGACCTTAATAGTAGCCCTATTATAGACTCTTACTGTAAGGGGGCCGTACCTAACCCGTACCCAAGATGGTCAGCTCAGAAAACCAGCGCTGGACTCCTTCATCTGCCGCTCACGGCGGCGGACTGCCTGGGGCTGTCACCCGAGGCTTACAAGGTCTCTGGGTTTGGGTGTGACGCTGAAGAAGTCCTACTGTTGATGATATAAATCCTGCATTACTTTTAGGACCCTAAAATATGGGAATGATGGTAAATTCCTTATTATGGGTAATGCAGGATTTATATCATCAACCGTATGAGGGGGTTCCTGTATCAATGCTGCTTTTTTGTAGGTAGTTTTACTATGATATAGCCCGAAACCTCATGATCGAGCTACGACGGCCCTCATGTTAGAGTTTCGAGTTGTGGGCTCTGGGATGCAGATGAGGCCGTTTCCGTGTCGAGTGTCAGAAGTCAGGAAATGCTTTGAGGTCCTAACCTTAAACTTAAACCCCTAATTCGACCCTGAATGTACAAGGAATCCGCAGGGAGATCAGCACGCTTGTAGTATCGATTGTTTAAGCCCAAGGTCGGGAGGAGCTTGCAAGGTCGTGTGCCACACACACACACACACCTTCATGAGTTTGGGTTTGGGTTTAGCTGAATTCTGCTGGCAAGGAAGTTAAGCAGCTGCAGATGCTCAACAGGAACAAACCGCGGAATCGTCGGGCACAAGCATGCTTCCCTTCCGATGGAAGCATGTGGCGGGACCATGTAAAAATGAATCATGAAGCTTGATTTAGATTCAGATTTCAGAATCGAAGCCTCAACGCTAGCGCATAGGGTTCGGGCTCGGAATAGCTCCCTTTCAAACACTACCCCCTTGGACTGTTAGCACAATCTACCCAAACCTCTCTTCCGAACATTCAAGCCCTTGTTACTGCCAGCGGATCTATAACCCTAAACCCTAAACCGACTTTATTTTAAAGAGCTGTGCATCTCCAAGGAACCTTCTTCCACTTCCCCCGGCGCTCGCGCACCACGCCAGGTAGCGACTCCTGGGCTTTTTCGTGGGCTTACGGGGATACAGGGGCTTGAGCAACTGAGTTTAAGGTCTAGGACTGACAGTTGAATATGGCTTATTTTGGGCTATGTATAGTATGGAAGGGTTTAGGACTGATGGTTGAATATGGCTCATTTTGGGGTATATATAGTATGGGATTGTCGCATAGGTGTCTAAGGACAAAACGGGTATGTCATCACCAGTTATCTATACTGAACTTAGACAACGACTCACTCTGCCTTCCTGGAGTCGAAACGTAGCTGAGAACGAGAGGAGGAGGAGCAGACAGAGGATGACGAGGAGGAACAGGAGGAAGAAGGGCGGAGGAGGGGTGGGAGCGCGCTGTTGTGATTGTCACGACTTCACTGGTAGTCGTCGTCGTTATTCTTCTTAATAGCTGATCCCCTTCTATATACAAAGTTGCGAACATTTCTATAAAACTAGAAGGCAATTGGCCCGAAATCATCATCAGCGAAGATTGTGGGGTTATGTGGTAGATCCAGTGTATAGGATCGTAAAGTCACAGAATCAAGAGTCATAGAGTCCATGAGTCATGAGTCATAAAGTCATAGAGTTGCAGTGACATAGCGTCATAGAGTCGTAGTGAGATAGAGTCAGTGTATAGGATCGTAAAGTCACAGAGTCAAGAGTCATAGAGTCCATGGGTCATGAGTCATAAAGTCATAGAGTTGTAGTGACATAGAGTCATAGAGTCGTAGTGAGATAGAGTCACTGTATAGGATCGTAAAGTCACAGAATCAAGAGTCATAGAGTCCATGGGTCATGATTCATAAAGTCATAGAGTTGTAGTGAGATAGAGTCACGGAGTCGTGGAGTCATCTTTGTACCATACACTTGACTCGATGTAGTTCACTCTATGCCCTGTGTGTGGGAACGCTTAATCAAGATCCGCCTAGCGTGAGGGCTCAGAGCCTGACTCAACAGGTCAAGTGGCAACTTGTCAGAGGGATTGGCAAATGCATAATATATGGATACTATACATATAAATATATATATATATATATATATATATATATATTATACATATATATATAGGTACACATCTATCTACTATCTATATCTGTCCATTTATATACATACTATCTATCTATATATTATATATATAGATAGATAGTATAGATAGATAGATATATTAATAATATATTATATCTTCCATTCATATCTATATATATATATGTACATATATATATATGTACATATACGGATGGAAATGTGCCTGGCCAAGAACTGGCCACTCGTCCTCGGCATTCCTGCCTCTCAAGTTATGAAGGGTGGAACGCCTCACATCGTCCTCATTGTACCAGCGGAAACACCAGCTGCAGAAAATGGCGTTATTGCAAGAAGCTTCACTGACTTCACAATAATAGAGCTGCGAATGAGGACAGAGTCACAGGTGACTGACTTGTTTACATTCTGACAGCACTGAACTGGTCTCTGATCAGCCATGGCACATCTTAAAATCTTCCTGAAGACTTGGCTTTTTTTACACACACGCACATTCTTCTCGTGGCGGCGTCGTTGCTTGCTTGCTCTTTCGCAAGACAGCGTCGAAGCAAGCAAGCAACGTCCCAAAGACCGGCATCGGAGAGGCGGCCTGAGGAGGTGCCGGGAGAGGTCATCCCAGGGATTACGGTGGTCCGGAGCCTCGTGAAAATGGCTGATTGTAGTTGCAAAGGTTCGTCGGGAGCCCCGAGCCTCCATAGCACGCATTATACCAAGCCAGGGTATAGGGGTATAGTATCATGGAAGAAGAAACATAGCGGCAGCTGACAAACATCCCCAAACGGAAGCCGCAACACTGGTCTCTGAAAGGAGTCGGGAATTAGGGTTTCGCTCTTCATCTCAAACCACAAAAGGCCAGCGTATGTTACTTAGCCGATTCAACAGACTCCAGGGGAACGCCAGGGGCTTATGGGTCCTTAGGCCTAGTAGTAGGACTAATGCAGGGATCATGGTGGTCCAGAGCCTCCTCCAGAAAGATTGATTCTAGCTGCAGACTGCAACAGTACCTGCACACCTTCCGATTAGAACATTCGAGGAAGCTAATCCCTCTCAATGAAGGATTGCGCGGGGCACCGCAAAATGTGTAACTTTACCTTGCGTTCGACCACTCGACCACGCCAATCCCTGTGAGGGGTTGCAAAATTCATTTCAATGCTCATCAAAAATTGCAACTTTACCTCGCGTTCGAACACTCCACCACGCCAATCCCTGTGAAGGGTTGCAAAATTCATCTCAATGCTCATCAAAAATTGCAACTTTACCTCGCGTTCAACCACTCGACCACGCCAATCCCTGTGAGGGGTTGCAAAATTCATCTCAATGCTCATCAAAAATTGCAACTTTACCTCGCGTTCGAACACTCCACCACGCCAATCCTTGTGAAGGGTTGCAAAATTCATCTCAATGCTCATCAAAAAATTGCAACTTTACCTCGCGTTCGAACACCCGACCACGCCAATCCCTGTGAAGGGTTGCAAAATTCATTTCAATGCA